AGAGAGAGAGAGAGAGAGAGAGAGAGAGAGAGAGAGAGAGAGAGAGAGAGAGAGAGAAATTTGGGAGAGGGTGGTGGGCTGAGTCGATGGAAGATACGGAAGTGTACGTGATGGACAAAGAAGACCCCGCTCGGCAGTCTAAGAGAGGTGCCTGCAAAGTGATTACGTGATCGCATGCCCATCTCAGCTCTTTCGTTTTTTTTTTTGCTTCTGTTTTGTTTTCTTAATGCTCACGTCAGCTCATGCTGTCATTCAACCAATCAAAATCAATTAATACATTGATCCCAAGTAATCCCATCAATCCATCCAAATGATCAATCCATATCAACCAACGGATCAATCACTCAATGCAATCAATCGACCATCAAATGGACTAATTAATCAATTACTAGTGTCAGCCTGATGTTCCAATCACTCGTCCCCTATCATTTGAACGAAGTGGCGCGAACCGAGTGAATCAAAATCAATCCAGTAGCACGAAACGATTGCTTGGAAATCATCAATCCTCAATCATCAATCATCAATCAATCATCAATCATCAATCATCAATCAATCATCAATCATCAATCAATCATCAATCATCAATCATCAATCGTCAATCATTCGAACGAAAAAGCGTCCAACAGTGATAGATTCAGCTTGCAAATCACCTGTCACCTATCATCAATCACCAATCATCAATCACCAATCATCAATCACCAATCACCAATCATCAATCGTCAATCGTCAATCATCAATCATCAATCATCAATCACCAGTTACCAATCACCAGAATGACTGATTCCTATCAGTCACATCAAAGACTAATCAATCTATCTTCTGGTTTTTGGTTTCATGGACGCTCCAGTCTATGAATCCCCCCTACCGCCGGTTGCCGCGGCTTTGAGCGGGGCGGCCGCGACTATCGTGGCCACGTGATTGAATTTTCGATTGACTGAGGAAAAAAAGAAAACCTCTTTTGCCTTTTTGTGTGTTTTTTAATCTTTTTTTCCTTGTATCTTTGCAACTGTCCATTAAAAAAAAAAAAAAAAACCCATGTGCAACATGTTTATCCCACCAGCGATCACAAAAAAATGAGAAAAAAAAAAATCCTATTTTTATTTTTTTTTAGATAAAAATACATATGTTTTCGTTTTTATCAATTTTTTAAAAGTAAAAAACAACGTTAAAATCCCCCCAAAAAAAGAGATTGTAAGGTCTTAAAAAACCCTACAACCCCTCTGTTTTTTTCTTTTTTTCTTTGGCCGTTTATTTTCAAGATAAAAACAAATAAAAAACCTTGCCCGCCCCCGACCGCCCGCGCCCGACCCTGGCGGTCATGTTCCCGACCGCCGGGCGAGTTGTACCGCGGGATTCATAGGCGGCTGCACTGTCCCCGCTCCAATCCAATTGTGTTTGCCGGCCATTGCCCCGATGAAGAGGATCTCGTTTCCCTTCCATATCTGTCCTCGACTGGCACATTTCACACTGGGTGCCAAAGAGTCCAACTCATCAAAGGTTGATTACCAAAAAAAAATAAAAAAAATCGGAAAACGTAAAATAGAAATGGATCGATCCCTCAATGCTGGCAGGCTTCTGAACGCTCCCATATATCACTCTCATGTGTTGTGTAATAAGGGACGCTGGACCCCCTTTCCACCACCACCACCAGCAGGTTCCTCTTCCCCCCCCCGCCCAACAGCAGGTGGCTCTCCCCCCTCCTCAAACAGCAGGTGCCTCTCCCCTCCTCACCATCAGCAGGTGCCTCTCCCCCCCCCCCAACAGCAGGTGCCTCTCCACGCCCCACCAACAGCTGGTGCCTCTCCCCGCCCACCAGCAGCAGGGGGAGGAGCACCAGCAGCAGGTGCCTCTCCCCCCTCTCCAGCAGCAGGGGGGGGAGCAACCAGACGGCTGCTAAGCGGGGCTGCTGCTCGCACCAGCCTCCCCGTGGAGTCAGTCGGGTTTTTGCTGGGGGGGGGGAAACCCTAAGCGACAAAAAAGTATCGATCCCACACGTGCGTAATCACCCCTATGATCGTGTCGGGAGATCTGTGCAGTTGAGCAGACATTGGTTGGGTGCCGAGATGTGCGGGCGGCGGGAATCAGACCTGTGGGTGGAAGGAAGTCCGCCATCACTCATCGGGCCTTACCGTCGTCTCGCTCTCGCTCTCACTACGTTGCGTTGGGCGCGGCTGTTGTCTGTGTAAATATTTAGCTCCTCTTGCGCGGACTATCTTTGCTTTCTTGAAATGTCTATTCAGTTCAGAAAGCAAAGATTGTCCGCGCAAGAGGAGCTAAATATTTACACAGACAACAGCCTCGCAGAAGAGGAGCTAAATATTTACACAGACAACAGCCTCGCAGAAGAGGAGCTAAATATTTACGCAGTTCTTGAAATGTAACACACAAGAAGTTTGTTGGTGATTCGTAGTGAGGGTGTGGAGGAAAAGGAATTGGCCATTGCTTGTGATTCTTCTTCTTTTTGCGCAGAAGAAATGCAAATCTGTTGATGCGTGTACGAGAAGCAGTCTATGGCCACTGTTTCCACTATTCTTCTTCTTCTTCTGTTTGTTTTGAGTTTAGGAGTTCTATGGTTGTAAAAAAGAAAAAAGAAAAAACAGGAATGCTATAATTGTTGCCGAACTATGTATACATCTAGTCCGTCTTACGTCTGACGTCTGACGGGTGAAATCGACGGCGGATACATCGTCCCGCCCAGCCATTTATGACCCTCTTTATTATCACCATCAGCATCACTGTCACCGTGGATTTCACCCCTCGGAGGGACCAGATGTATCATCATTGCACCGCCATTATCACCATCACCATCACCATCACCATCACCATCACCATCACCATCACCATCACCATCACCATCACCATCACCATCACCGCCATCACCGCCATCATCACCGCCGTCACCGCCACCGCCACCATCACCATCACCATCACCATCACCATCACCATCACCATCATCACACACTCGCTTTCATCGCCATCATCATCATAATCACCATCATCGCCGTCATGGCCATCGTGACCACCTTTAGCTTGGCCGTTCACTTCCACTGCCTCGTTAATTGGATATGTAGCCTTCTGTTTACGATCTTGAATGGGACCTATATATATCCATAGGTCGATTGAATTTTTTATTATTATTATTTTTTTATTTTTTTATTTTGGGACCATTTCTCGATTCATGCGTGTCATCGTTGAGAGCGCAGGAAGCATGCGAATCTTATTCTCTGTACCGTTCCGATTTTCTCGCGGATGACCCGAAGGACATAGATAGATCGATTTTAAGAGCGAAGGTAAGGAGGGAAAAAGGTTCTGGAGAGACGGAAATGGGGAGCCCTTTTATTTTAGTTCAACTCTTGATTCCAGAGTCTCTTATAGGGTTTTATATGCTGACCTTGTCTACCATAACCAACCATGTCGTTTTCTATTTTTAACCTTATACCATGACCAACCGTGCGCTTTTCTGTTTTTAAACCTTATCGACTTCGATATCCCCTTTTAGTGATCGTCGTTTAGCGATTGGATAAGGCAATTGGATGACGATCGACGATTGAATTCCGATGTCTGTTTGTTTCGTTAATGATGATTAGCCTGATGGCGATTTCGTCAATGGATCATGGAGCCACGTGGCGTGAGAAGATTAGATAACCAAAGGACGAAGAAAGAGCTGATGGCACTGGCGATGGCGCTGATGTTGATTATGGCGGTCGATGATGATGATGATGATGATGATGATGATGATGATGAGGATGAGGATGACGATGGGGATTATGGCATTTGCTGACAACGGCGGTGATGGTATTAGGCTTGGTGAAAATGGTGGCCATGGTGGCGATTACGTCTGATGATTAGGAGGGCGGCTATGGTGATGTGACGGGGGCGATGATGTTAATGTGATGATGCTGAAGAGTGTTATTCCACCTTCTTGTACGATGATTACGGCTATGGCGTTAATTATTGTCGATGATGACGATGATGGCGATGATGAGTACGGCGGTTCGTATGCCATCAGCGATGACGAGGACGGCTGATAATGGTGATGGTGATGGCGGTGATTGTGGAGGACAATAACGGCGGCCGCGATCACGATTATGCTGGTTGTAATTGGCCGCGCGGATGGTGATTATTGCTGGTTATGATGACGGCGATGGAGGCTATGAGTTTAGTTATTGCCGCCGATGATGATGATGATGATGATGATGATGATGATGAGGATGAGGATGAAGAGGAGGAGGAGGAGGAGGAGGAAGAGGAGGACAGGGCAAGGATCCGGGAATTGTGCTGATTGGAGGGGCTGCAGGCAGTTGGAAGGATGGCGGGTGCTTCCACGGAGCCCCCCCCCCTCCCCCCCCCCTGAAGTACCCCATAGTCCCTCCAACGACCATGTCTCGGCAAGGACGACATGTGGCGTCATTGTCAGACTGCTCGGAGAAACAGCAGATTAGGGTTTAGGGTTTAGGGTTTAGGGTACATCTGGTAAATTGGAACCATACAGAGAAGATGAGCATTGACCCAACTGAAGGATGACACCCAATGCAGGGATGGCACTTACAAGTCAAGAAACGGCCACCAAATAGAAGAATTGAGGATTGAGAATAGCTAGGCGAAGCACTAACCATCTGCATATAACGAAGTTCTTATCAACACAGCAACCACGCGGACATAGCTAAGCTCGAACACACACATTCCCCAAGAAGAAGAAGAAGAAGAAGAAGAAGAAGAAGAAGAAGAGACGAGTAGGGTTTAGGGTTTAAGGCTGTCTTGGTGGCTGTGTGTGTGCTACCAGTGAGGGTAGGTAGAATTTACTGTTGTTTTTTGTTGGCTGCTCTTCGCGACTGTACGGTCTTTCATTGAATAGAGCGTGGGGTCCTTGTGTTTGCTTTTGCCGTGAAAACGACATCTGTACAGCTACAATGACCCTGAGTTCTATGTCGGGGAAGAGGATTGGGTTTAGGGCTTGTTTTGTCGTTTTCCGGTGCTGGAAAGATTGGGGGTGAGGGTGCATGTGTGGGCTTTCTGCTCTCAACGAAGTAATCTTCGTTTAGAGATAAAGAAATCAGGGGTTAGGATCTCTGAGGGTTTCTTAAGGTTCCTTAGGGCTTATGGGTGCTCTGTTGGTATTCTGCTTTTGGCAAGAGTAGGGTTGAGGTCCTACCATCTTTTTCACCCAAAAAGAAGGCCCTGGCATTATAGCGGTAGAATGCCCGGTCATTATGGCGGTATTTGGCACAACTTTCAGTCCAGAGGGAGCGATAATGACCAGGCGTTCTATATTCTATTTGGGTGAAGATGGTATGGTTGATTTATTGGGCTTTCTTTGGTGGGATGAGTGATTAGGGTTGGGGACATCTTTGGTTGCCTTTCCGTCCTGGGTGGGATTAGCACTTAGGGTTTAGGGTTTAGGGCTTAGGGTTTAGGGGCTAGTGTTCAATGTTTAAGGTTTTCCGTGGTGGCGTTGTGCAAGGACAGTCTTAATGTTTCCAGCCTCGGGTTTAGGCTCTAGGAAGTGTTTGCTGGCTTTCTGGTCTGTGTGAGATATAGGATTTAGGAGTTAGTTGTAAGTCGTAGCGCTTAGGGCGCTTGTGCTGTGCCGGCAAAAAGGAACTGGCACGGTTATCCGATGACGAGGGCAATATCATTGTGTTGTACTTTGTGGATCACTCAGAAATGTCAGAGGGAAGCCTTCCTTAATAGACAGAGCATTATGACATCCGCTCTAATGTTATGGTAATCCTAATCATAATAACAGTAGTACAATACTAACAACAAGAATTAAAAAAAAAAACAATAGAAGTTAAAAAANAAAAAAAAAAAAAAAAAAAAAAAAAAAAAAAAAAAAAAAAAAAAAAAAAAAAAAAAAAAAAAAAAAAAAAAAAAAACAAAAACAGACAAAGGATTCGAATGCTGTATGACGGTGAATAAGGAGAAAAGCAGTTCTACCATAGCAATAAGCTGTCTTAGGTCTGTGTATCAGATTCAAGTTCTACTGGGGTTCATCAGAGGCGGATCAGTGCCTAGGTCTGCTTCGTCAGCTTCCTTTGAGCCATATTCAGGCAGCATTCCTTTGAGCCATATTCAGGGTTCCTTACGGACTGAATAATGACCACAGTTGCTGAGTGGCGGTGATTCAAATAGGACCGCTTCATCAGCTTTTGTGGCATCTTTGGATTCTTTTTGAACAAGAAAGATTGCTTGGGCACGTCATCTTGCGTTCTCATGTTATAGTTACACAGAAGAAAGTGACATTGTTGGCTGCCTATCTCTTCTCAGCCTTCTTTTCCAGCTTCGTATTTTTTGGGTCCTCCTCAGTTGATAGTTAGCTCATGGCAACCTTATGGACCTGAAAGTGGTTTGGGGTTTGGGGTTTGGGGCTTAGGGTTACTTTACGGACCTCTATTTGGTTTAGGTTATGGGTTTAGGGATGATCGGCAGTGTACAAACTTCGTGCAACATGTGCGCATTGCTTGGGACATTGCTAATTACTCATGTGCGGCGTGCCTCTACCACTGCTGCTGGTGTCTTTTCCAGCTTGATTCCGAGTTCGAGTTGGTAGTGCAGGGTTAAGGGTTAGGTTTGCGGGTTTCTGGTCCAGGGTTTAGGGTTTAAGGATGATTGACAGTCTGCAAGCTTCGTGCGAAATTTGCAGCTTACTTGGGACATTACCAAAAACCAACTCACTGTTGTGGATATGGTCAGGGCTCGATCCCTGGACCTCATGCCTGGTGCGGGGCATTTATTTTTTTCTGCTGTCCTCGGTACCGACACATTTTACATTTCTGTCCCTTGGACATTTTTACCGGTACCCGTCTGTACCCTTCTGATATAAAATGAGTCAGTACCGAGGACATAGCAGAACGAGATAAATGTCCGCCACCAGGCATGAGGTCCAGGGATCGAGCCCTGGCCAGATCCGTAACACTCGCATACGACATGCTCCTATGCCCGACAGCATATGTGGACTCTTTATCGACTTTGTCCATTCGGATAAGAAAACCATAATGCAGCTGGGAATGATGTTTGGTACCATCTTCTGTACGTCATATGGCGTAATGGGACCATTGACAGCTGACGAGCCGAAAAAGGGATTTGAACCCTCAACCTCCGGCACTTCCCATTGGCTGCATAGTGAACACTTGGAAGTCAGAATTGTTGAAGCTTGACCTGAGAGTCTGTAAATGATCTCTATCGAACTTTCAAACTTTCAACGGATTAATGCGGCCTTTTCAATTCCAGCTATACTTTTAGCAAATGTTTCCACTTTGATCTTATTAAATATCCTATGTTTTTGGCACATGCGTGTAGGAATAGAGGTAATTCTAGCAGACTATATTACCCCCCCCTTCCCACCCTGCCCCCTTCCCCCGCCTTTTTCAACAAGCAAGAGAAAGGCATGCCATTGATTATATGTCCTTGGAAATTGAAATGAAATGCAGCTGTGATTGTGTGCTGGCGTTTTTCCTCTTGTTTCAAAGGGGGTATCCCCTAGAGTTATTTGTATACATCCAATTCCATCGGGGCTCCAACGGTTTACAAAGAGTGACATATGTGTGCCATTCAGCCGCATCGGCTGGATATTGTGTGCTGGAGTTCTAATCCTCTGCTACCATACTGTTGCAAACTTGCAATTCTATTTCTTTCCTTTTTCTGTGTTTTCGCGTTTTGTGTGCCTTGTTTCCTGGGCAGATATAGATGCGTTCGATGCCCGAATGAAATGTTTAAAGCCTTCAGTGGCCTCCAGTGTGCGACAGTTGTTGCCTCAGGGTCTCGAGGCGATGGCGACTGCAGGTAATCAACATAGTCAATGTATAAAGAGTATTAAAGACCTGTTATGATGTATCCCTGTGTCTCGATGGAAACACAAACACCTACTTGGGTGTGCATTTGCTCAAACAAGAGGACACATTGGCCCTCTGGAAACATAAACACCTTCTTGTGCCCCTCTCTTACCCCACCTCCACTGTGACAATGGCCTTTCACATGCTCTCAAATGAGGGCAGCAAAAGACAACAGATCTTCCCTTCCTTGGACTCATATTTCCTAATCTGCCACTTATTCGGAATCGATCCCTGATCTGCGACTGCAGGTGTGGCGGCCTCCAAGCCTCCTTTCCCCTCCCAATACGCCGACCCAATGGCAGGGTGTTGTCAGTTGAATGTCCACCTCTGCTTAAAAGGTCAAAGGCTCTGGCACAACTGCAGACCTTCGAGACATAGGTTTGGAGGACTTTGCAAGAACTCTGTTTCTGGAACCATGGCCCCCTTGAAAGTCCACTACCTGCATTTCGTCGTCGAGTATGAATGCCAGCAGCTGTGTCTGCAGCCTTGTGACCTATTTCGGGGACACATAATAGCCTTAGCACCGCATCCATTCTTTCCTTTACTTTTATTTCTGAAACAGTGAACCACGAGAAACCTGATCCATGCACACTCAAGCACTATAGCAATCACTAGCTACAAGAGCAGGTGAACACACATCACAGTTAGCAGGAGCTGAAGGGCTGATATATATATATATATATATATATATATATATATATATAGACAGAGAGAGAGAGAGAGAGAGAGAGAGAGAGAGAGAGAGAGAGAGAGAGAGAGAGGGAGAACTGAGGCAGCAACAGGTGCATCAGCAGTATGATAATGCAAAAGAACACTGAGGCGGTGATAAAAAACCTGGTTCAAACATCCTACAGCAACAGCATTCATTCATAGGTCCATCCGATGGCCAAAAATGACCCCCCTGTGACCAGTAGACTGTGGTAGACAAACCGCTCCAGTCATCCAACGGCAACAACATCAATAAACAGGTTCATCCAGGGCTGAAACTCACCCACGCCGTAACTGATAGGGTTGATCCAAGGGCTGAAACTCTCACATGGAGTCACCAATAGACCGGGAGGCATAGAAACACTGCATCTGAGGTATAGATGTGTACATCAGATATTTGGACCTCAGAGGGCAATCTTGATACATCTGTGGTACAAGTGTTTCAATTCTGAGGACAATCTGGGCATGCTCTGGCATCCATAATGTTAGAGGCCATCGAGATGGTTTTCCTTGGAGACAGAAGAAGGAAAGCCATTGGAATTGACTTCATTCTCAGCTTCTCATCTTATTTGGCATGAGGCTTATGGCGATTGTGTCAGGCATGTGATGGCTTGTGGTGTGAAGTCCCCGTTTGGACAAGGGTCATGTGCTGAATTGGAGCGAAGTGTGCAAGAATTGCCTGTGTGGTGTTGTGTATGTGTGTGTGAGTCAGTAAGAACACTACAGCCATGCAGGGGTGGGGTGGATATCTCAAGATTCTCAACCAGTGCGGCTCCACTTTTGTACACCGTGTCATGGCTGTAGTGGTTGAACCACCACTACTTCCGAAAGTCGTGGCTGCATGAGCACGGCAATATGCTAGGATGTGCCATTGGATGATATTACATATTGCAAGTAGTGAGATGAGTTATATTTGCACTTCTTTTGAGTTTTCTTACTTCGTTTTTAATGTCATCCTTTTGCAGTGGCCATGCTAATCTTCTGCGCATCGTTCCAATTTTAGTGGATGTCCCGAAGGACAGTTATATTTACACTTGGTGTTTAATACTTTTTATGTCGATTTCTTTCTTTGATCAGCAGCCAAAAACTTAAAGTCATGGTTCCAGTATATTCTGGGGAGAAGCGGTTCGGTTCCTTGTCTGCTGTCAAGTCATTGTGCAAACGCATGAAAGGATTTCTGTTCACAGCATTGATTGCCTCTCTAGTCGAGATGTCTGTCTTGAGTTTCTTTTCTTCCTTTAAAAAAACAAGTGGACCCGCCGCAGCTACGCTGCGGCAGAGGAGAGGGACGAAGAAGGAGGCGGGGCTGTTGTTGTTACACTGCCGGGGTTTTATTATTATTATTATTATTTTTGTCGTCATATTCGCTATACACGCAAAAATCTCTCTCTCTCTCTCTCTCTCTCTCTCTCTCTCTCTCTCTC